AATAGTTCATGTTTTTTTAAACCAAATTTGAAAGTTCATGATTTAAATGACAATTTTCCCGAAAGACAAATAGGTGGGATTTTCTACAAAGCCCCTGCGAGAACTTATTGAGATAGTATATTGCCACATGTTCTTTTCTCATACATCAGTATTTGCTACAGAAATTAAACTTTAAAGATTTTATGAAAAAGCATTTAAATATTGTTTCCCTATTGATTAGATCTCCAAATTAGTATACTTACTGATAAGGTTGCTCTTAGTGGTAGAATATCTATCTTAAATGTTTTTTTTGCATGTACTATATTACTAGCATTAAGTAGTTTATATAAAATTTAAGTTTAATTAGAAATGAACCATTGAAATAATGACACATATGAGAAAAATTATTTAACTACTATTGGAAGTTTATTCTTGGACGTATGTCCCTCCACTTTTTCTTGCATCTCTCCACTTTTTATTTTTTTATTTTTTGTTTACTATTTTAAAGATGAGAGATGGAATGAGGTTGCTCATGGTTTTACCTAGGCCTGAGAATTCAGGTATTTGGTTCAACTTCGGATAGGAACTATTCGGTTTTAGATATATCGGATAAATCATTTCTATATTGAATAGGGTCTTATGAAATTTTGGTTTGGTTTTGGCTCGACTCAAGTTCAGGTTCGGTTTTGGATACCCGTTTAATATGTAAATCAAATATATATATATACAAAATATATTAATTAGTATGATAGTTTAAATGATCTGGTGTTTACATGCTTACATCTTCTTCAATCCAATAAGAGTTGAAGTCAATAAAGTATTAATTTTATAAATGTTTACAATATTTTAATACAGATATACATATATATTTATAATATTAGAGAGTAGATAAAAGATAACATGATCTGGTGGTAATAGTGTTCTCACTCTTCATGTCCAATCTAGGTTCAAGTGGTTTGATGTTAATTTACCTCATATTAAAAAGGTTAAACTTGTTTTTTTTTTTATTCGGGTACCCGTTCGATTCTCGGTTCAGTTCCGATTTTGCTTTCGGTTCAGTTTTTTGGATATAGAAATAAAGGAACCATTTGGATATTATGGTAGATTCTTAATATAATGTTTTTATACTCAAAATTGTATATTTAATAATTATTTATTTTAATATACACTTTTCAGATAGATGTTTAATCTAGTTTTTCTTTTTCTTATGTTGTATATTTACTTATTCTAATTTTCTTGTTATATCATATGATAATGTAAGGATAAATATTAATATAATATTTCTATTTATAATATTTTTATTACTTATTTATTTTTATATTGAATATTTAATTATAATAATATTTGAAAATAGTTAAAATGTAAAAAGTATACATTTTCATATAGATGTTTAATGTAGTTTTTCATTTATTATATTGTATATTTACTCATTATTTATTGTTCCGTATATGAAATATTTACTTATTTTAATACAAAAACAGATGTTTGATATAATATTTTATCACTTATATTATATAATTACTTACTTTAATATTAGGATATTTGTTTAATATAATATGTATATTTTGCATATTGTATATTTACTTATTATTTATTTTACTATACATTTTATTTTTTACTTATTTTAATATGACTATACATGTTTAATGTAATATTTATATTCTAACATTGTATATTTAATTATTCTAATAACACGATAAATGGTTAATGTAATATTTCAATTTATTTTATTATATATATTTGTTTATTTATACATATTTAATGTAATATTTATATTTCTTATATTGTATATTTACTTAGTATTTATTTTACTATACATTTTTCAATTAGATACCTAAAGTACTTTTTCTATTTTTATATTGTGTATTGTATTTAATATTTATTTTTTCTTATATTTTATAACTACTTATTCTAATATTAGGATAAATGTTTAATGTAATTTTAATTTTTTATACTTACTTATTTTTTATTCTAATTTACTATTTTTATATTAAATGATAATATTACGATAGATGTTTAAAATAATATTTCTATTTTTTATTTTGTATATATTTTTATTATTTATTTTTTCTTATATGGTATATTTAGTTATTCTTATATTAGGATAGATATTTAATTTAATATTTTTATTTTTATATTTTTATTTACAGATTATTTATTTACGAGACAATTTTAGATTGATGTTCAATATAGTTTTCCCTTTCTTATATTTTATATTTACTTATTTTTAAATTTTGTTTTCTTGTATATTTACTATTTCTATTTTTTTGGCTGGTATATCAAATGATAATATTACAATAAATGTTTAATGTAATACTTAAATTTCTTATATTCTATATTACTTATTATTTATTTTAATATTTTATAAAATATTAGGAAATAATAAAAATGTAAGAGAATACCTTTTTCTCATAGTGTTAATTGTAGTTTTCATTTCTTATGTTGACTATTTACTTATTATTTATTTTTAAATTAATTATTTACTTATTCTAATTATTTTTATTTTATACGAAATGGTAATATTATGGTAGATTCTTAATGTAATATTTTGATACTTAGAATTATATATTGACTTATTATTTCTTTAAATATACATTTTTCAGATATATGTTTAATAAAGTTTTTCTTTTTCGTATGTTGTTATATCAAATGATAATATTATATTCTTAATATAATATTTCAATTTCTTCTATTATTTATTTTTTTATTTTTTATTTTGAAAATTTACTTATAAAAACATTTGGAAGTAATAAAAATATAAAGTATGCATTTTCTATTGTATATCTACTTACTATTTATTTTACTATATATTTTATTTATTAACTTATTCTAATATTGTGATATATGTTTAATGTAATATTTCTATTTGGATATTATATATTTATTATATATTTTTCTTATATTGTTTATTTACTTATTCTAATAACACGGTAAATCTTTAATGTAATATTTATATTTCTTATATTATTTATTTATTTATATTTAATGTAATATTTCTATTTCTTATATTTTATATTCCTTAGTATTTAATTTAATATACATTTTTTGATTAGATGATTAAAGTAATTTTTTTTATATTGTATATTGTATTTACTATTTATTTTTTATTATATTGTATATTTACTTATTCTACTATTACGATAAATGTTTAATGTAACATTTCTATTTTTATATTGTATATTTCTTTATTATTTATTTTTTCTTAATGGTATATTTACTTATTCTTATATTACGATAGATATTTAATGTAATATTTGTATTTTTCTATTTTAAATTTAATGATAATTTATTTTACCATACATTTTTTAGATTGATGTATAATTTAGTTTTCCCTTTCTTATATTATATATTTATTTATTTTTTATTTTTTCTAAACTTGTATATTTACTTTTTCTAATTTTTTCTGCTATATCAAATGATAATATTAGGATAAATGTTTAATATCATGTTTATATTTCTTATATTGTATATTACTTATTATTTATTTTATATTATACATTTACTTATAAAATAGTTGGAAATAAAAAATGTAAAAGTATACATTTTCACATACACTTATTATTTACAGGGATTTTTATATTGTAAATTACTTTTTAATGTATTATTTCCCTTTTTTAAATTGTGTATATACTTATTATTATTATTATTATTATTATTATTATTATTATTCTATATTATATATATTTACAAATTTAATTGTATATTTAAATTTTTACATTTAAGATAGATGTGTTATGTAGAATTTCTATTTTTGAAATTGTGTATTTACTTATTATTTGTTGTAAGACTATACATTTTTATTTTTTTCTGTTTCATGTAGTATTTACCTTTTTATAGTGTATATAACTATTTATGTAATATTTCCATTTTTAAAACTGTGTACTTAATTATCATTTCTTCGTATATTATATATTTATATATTTAAATGTATAGTTACTTATATTTAATTTTTACATTTTAAGATAGACGTTTAATATAGTATTTTTATTTTTTAAATTGTGTATTTATATATTTAAAATTATATTTACTTATAATATATTTCCTATTTATATGTATATTTAATTATATCTCGTATCTATCTATCTATTATTATAAAGTTTGGTTTTCTCCCTCCTGCTCCCTCCACGTCACTAATTCACTCTCTCTGAAGCTGACATTGTCACATTCCTCTTAAGCGCTGCGTTTAGCTTATATTTGTCCCTAATCAATTGGGCTTTCATAAATTATTTAGGCCTAAAGTTATTGTTGTCAGCCCGTTTATTACCAGCTTAGTTTCTCTGATACGCTGCCGTAAGAAGCCGTAAGAATGGTTAGGGTTCGTGGATTGGTTCGTGGATTCTTCTCTCTCAGACGCCATGAAAATAGCTTCATTATCTCTGTGTGACTGTTGTCTTTGCCTTTTAACTCACCAACCTCTTCGACTTCCTTTCCATCCAGACCAAAGTGCATCACTTACAAATCCATGACATGATTCGTGTTAATAGCTCTTCACCCACGATCTTGACATCAATTCTTTGTGAACTACTGAGAGTCGGTATCTCATCGTATATAAATAGGTATGTTTCTAGCTATGGAAGCCATCCTCTTATCTCACTCTTAAATATCATCTAAATGGCTAACTCCAGAGTGTTTCTTTCAGATCTGGAGTCCGGCAAGTGCTACTCCACCGTCAAGGTTAGGCAGCTCCGTATCTGAGAGGCGAGGAATGTCAAGCGTTGTGGTGAGCTCAGTTGGCTTGATATGCTCATGGTGGATGTTGATGTATCTATCTATGCCTTTGAATCATATCGTTATGAAAATCCGGCAAGCTAGGGTGTGTTTTTTTTTCCTTTCGATCTATGCATTTAAATTGGTATAGTTCTCAAATTTTAGCGAGCTATGGTGTGTTTTTTTCTTTTAAACAAACTTAAGATCACTCATCATGTGAACACCAAAGAGACCACACCTTCTCTCTGTTACATAAAAAGGTTTTAACACTTTTTTTATTTCTGTGTGCAGAAGTTGAGTAGTTGAAAGAGATGATGGCGAAGCTACTGCTTGGTGAAGACATGTCAGGTTCTGGTGAAGGAGTTTCTCCTGCCATCTCTAACATTATTACCAATCTCTAAGTTAATTAGCTTTAGCTTTGAATGTTTATATGATATTAAGAAGATAAATGGTGGCTTCTTCTGCCACGTGTGCCATCTGATGGACTCTCTGAGCAGTCCAGGAAGAAGTTAGACCACACTCATAATTTAACTAACCAAATCTTGAAAGCATGTATGTCAATCAAAAACAGTGCTTTAGCTGAAATAGAAGTTCCACAAGCATACTTTGAAGCTCTTCCAAAGGTATTGTAAAAACTTTTTAATTGGATAGCCATTTTTTTAAGTTGCGTCTGAATCACATTGTTCTTTCTACAGAATGTGAGTCCATGCCTTGGAGATTTTCTTTATAGAAGCATCACGTCTGATAACTTCTCAGCAGATTACTTGCTTGGAGTCAATAGATCTTTCTTCTGAGCATGCTGTTGTTGAGAGCTCATTCAGGGAATTTGATTTCACTTTATAGATCCACTGGCGCAAGACCCTCTTAGGCGGGATGATAGTGAAAGAGATGGTGAATCAAATGGTAACATTTTTGATTGGTCGGAGAATAGAAGCAGTTTGCAGCCAAAGATAGCTCAAGAGAGAGAGCATAATCCCTAAACAGTAACACTTTTGAAATCCCAATCTACATTTTTGATCTTTGGTTTTCTTGAACATTGGGAGCTACTAAGGGAAAGTATTTAGCCATGTGGGTAGTGGAAAAAGAAGTATTGGAACAGGATTGTTTGTTGACAACTGTGAGATGAGCCTCAAACCTGAAAATATGGGGATAAGGAGTGGCTGAAAGAAAATTTAAAGAAGGAGGAATAAGTGGTGATGAAGGCAGAGGTTGAGGTGTTGGAGGAGATGATGAGGAGCAAGACGATAAAATGGTGGATAAGCTTGCTTGGAATGCAAACCAACAGGTACTAGGGCTAAGGGGAAGGAACATGGAGACAAACATGAGGGAGAAAAACTATTAAACCATGTGTTTTGTTTCTTCACATTACCTGCTTTTTTGTTCTTCCGTTTTTGTTGTCAGAATTGTCTTCTGTATTGTTGTGTTTTTTTTAATATTTTGTGGTGCTGTAATTTTGCGGATCTAATGAGCTTAACTAATTATGTTAAGTAATTTCTCGCTGAAGATTGTTTTATTTTCTCCTAGAATAAATGAACTCCATAATTTTTTGTTACAAGAAAGAAAAAAATTTGAAGTCTGATAATAAATTGAGAAGACTATCTATAAGAATCAACCAAACAATTATATAGTTCTATATGCATAAATACAAACACAAAATGAAAACCCATTAATAAACATCACACAAATCCACATATAAACATCACGCACATTCACAAATAACTAAGAATATATATATATATATATATATATTCACATTTTAAAAAAATCGGACAGAGTCAACAAATGTTTACAATAAAAATTTATTCTATTTTAAATAAAAACGCATCAAATATTTAAGGGAAGATTACTCAGATAACACTAATCTTTGTTTTTATTACTAGATTAATACTAATTTCTTTTTATTTACAAGACTGTTTTTTGTACCCAAATTGTCCTCATGTCCTTTGTTAACAAAAAAATATATTTACCAAAATGTCATTACTATTTTATGCAAAATAAGCAATTATTTTCGAAATTGATTGAAAGTATGCCGTCGAAAATCTGCGATACATGATGACAGATTTATTAATTTCTGAAAAATTTATTTCTTCCAGCAGATTTACCATGGTAGACTTAATATCGTTATAGACTTTTATAAAAAATATGCCATACATTACAATAAACATATTTAAGTTAACAGATTTGTTTAAGCTGGAACACTTTTATAGCAGATTTTTGGTCCTATGATAGCAGGTTCTTAATATGTGGGAGACTTTTTTTCCGATTGATAATTTTTCTTTTGCAGACTTTTTATATTTTGGCAGATTTTTTTATATTCGTGATGGCAAACTTATATTATCTTATTTTGTCTATGGCAAAGTTTTTGAATAGTATTCTTCATAGCAGATTTTAAACTAACTTTTAATTGATAGCATACTTTTATTTACAGCAGACCTTTAGGACTTTTATAAACCAGATTCTGGTTTGCTAATTGAACTGAATAAGATAAAAAAATTTGGTTAAGTAATGACGAAATTGAGCCCAAAAAATCAATCACTAACTTCTAGGTTTAGCCGTAAAACATGTCTTTGTTTCTCATTTCAATTTGGACTTGTTTCTTGTTTCTGTTCAGAAAGTTTGACTCGCTTGTTTCTTGTTAGGGAATTTATTGACTGGTTATACTATGTGTCCTCTATCATGTTGTACTCGGTAACCACAAAGACAAGATGGGCAAAAAGATAACATGAGTCAGCTTCATTCCAACTATTTGAACTTAGATTCATAATCAAATTACACAACTTCTAGTCATCAAGTAGATAATGATTCTGAAACATGAAATACTACATAACAGTCGATAAGTTTGTTTTTAAAACATGAAATATTAGCTGGTTTGTAAGTAAATGGTGAACAGTTAATTTGGCTTGACCAAGTATAATCCAGCTCTTTCAACCTCCGAATAACTCCAACAGCTGATTCTTTATTGGATTCCCATGCATTTACGCCAACTGATTCCTCGACCATATGCAAACTTGCCAAGTGACAGTTATGATTCCACAACTCAGAAGCCCCATGTAATCAACTATCAACCGTAATGAATCAATTCTCTACTACCTCATAATCAACTACTAATTCCACAACTCAGAAGCGCAAACACACAACTATCAAAATTAGAAACCCAAAATCAAATAACATACATGGAATGGAGAAAGGAACATCCATGTTTTAGCAGTACCCAAAAAAAATAAGGAAGAGACTAACCTTGATGCCACAATTTGTAGGTCAATTGAATAGCTTCAAAAGGAGATGAGGTTGTGCTTCTGAAGAAACAACTGAGAGAAAAGTGAATAAGCCACGACCTATGTGAACCGAAGGGATTTCACGGAATTGAGAATTTCAAAAGGAATTTAGGGTTCGTCAAGTGGATTTCGGATTTACTTCCCCTATGTGAACCGAAGGCTTTAGCGGTAGATTAGAGTTCGTACATGAACGAATCGATGAGGAACTATTTTACTAAGAAAGAAAATTGAGAGTTTGAGGATTTCACAGTTTGGGGATTTAGGGTTCTTGAGGAAGTCAAGAGAGAGATGTCGTGGGGGAGAAAGTGTTTTTTTTCATATTTGTCTTTCCTCAACAAACCTTCTAGTTCAGGTAGAGTCTTTCATTTTCTGTTTTAAAAATTATATTTTGTTTAATCCTATTTATTGAATGGGTATTTTGGACTTATACTCAATTTTTCCTTCTTTCTTTGTTTTTGTATGTTATTCTAGTCATTTCACATAAAATATGTGTTATTGTAAGTAATTTCCCAATATTTAAAAAAAAAGTTGTCATAAGTGATATACACATTGTATAGGCAACAAATTTTAAAATCAGAAGTGGTCGTATTTTTACAACTTACAAAGTACACAACAAAAAAATATTAGTTTCTGAATTACATTTATAATTAGAATTTTTGTATAATTATAATTTGAAGAATTTAGACCAAAATAGTTGTACATATGCTATTCGCTCATTGGCAGATAAATTCATTGTGTTTAAGAAAAAAAAAACATATAATCACGAAACTGAAATTCATTCTTTTTAATATTAAAATAAACATAATCTAGAATAAAATTAAAAAATATAACAATTAAGATTAAACATCTTTACATAGTACAAGTCAGATTACAAACATATAAATTAACTCTTACTGAGTCCAACAAAAAGGAATCACTATAAGGCACTAAGTTTTAGCAGAATGTAAACCACAAATTGATCATCTACAACGCACAATCGATTTAAATACTTCTCTCCGGATCATAGCATAACACAACTGCAATGCAAAATATAGTACAAACATATCATACATGAAGCATATGTACAATAATCTGGAGAATTCTTTTAGACTCTACCAAGGCTTTCTTTCTGGGTATGTAAGGAAACGGTGGGAGAGAGATTTAGCATTTGGGGACGATTCTTTTAGACTCTAGCAGGGCTATGTGATTTGGGCTGAGGATTATTGGAGACTCTAGAAAGGCTATGCATGCCTCTGTTTAATTGGTTCAGAGTTGCGTCTTCTCTGGTTTTGGGCAGATTTGGTTTACAGCTGACTTAGACCCTATAGTTTTTGCTGCTCAAGAGTGTTCACAATAGGTTTAAAAGGTAAAAATACGACTTCAATGTTCAACATATCAAGTGTGGTGCTTTTTAGATGTATTCAGATTGATTTGAGGCTTGGTCAAAGACTATGAAACAAACAGATCAGATTTCAGTGAAGGATGTTTGATCAAAATCCAAACAAACATGTATTGTTTCTAAATAGAAACAATTAATATTAATTTTTTTTGTGTTGCGTACTTAACTAAAAATATGTTTTTGTTATAATGAATCAGCTATTCTTTTTAAGATTATATAAATCATCATTTTAATTAAAAAGTATAAAACAAAACTGAATTCAAAAACTAAACATATCAAAAGAAATTATCTATGTTTTTTTGTGTTAAATCCAACCGATTATAACTGTTCTAATTACATCATCATTCCTTTCAAAATTAAACTAGACCAGATATCAAAAGTAAAATAAAATAATTACATTTTCATTAATTTTTTCAATGGTTGAAGGATAATAATAATAATACAAATAGTGGAAGTTGTTATAGTAAAAATTAATATTACATATAATGGAGAATAAATTAAATATTCACAAAATTTTCCCTAAATTGGTTTTAGTATCATATAAAATATTATGTATACCAGAAATATTTATTAAAAAAAAAACAATATGATCTCAGACTTCTTTCATTATTTGTTTGTTTATAATATTTTTAATTCTATACCAACTTTTAACGCTTCGTACAATTAATATAATTCAAAAAATAGTTTTTCTTAACTTTCCGCCCGAAAGGCAGATCGACCCTAGCATTATATATTTAAATGATAATAATGTGATTAATTAATATAGTAATGTCACATGACTTCTTTTCGAAGAGAGATTTTACGCTGATACGAACATTTAGAGTCAAAAAATCTTTTTTTTATTAGTATAGACTCCATGGCAAGGAAAATGTAAAAAAAATATGGAAACAAAGACAATTGATATTTTTTTTTTCTTGGGCAGCTCACAATTGATACTCTAACCGTTCTGTTTGGTAGCAAACCCGAGTGAGAGATCAAGCCAAACCCGACACTAGGAGATCACGATCATAATTTGACGCCTAAGGTCTAATAATCTTGAAACCATTTACAAAACTCTAATCCACTAAGACATGTTTCTAGTATACAATCTAGAAACATGTCTTCACCAATCACCACCTTTAGTCTAGAACCAACTCTGGTCATGCATGTATGCTTCGGAGATATCGAATTCTTTAGAAACATGATCAAGTTATTTATATAAACTTTAGTTTATCAAGCGGCACTAATCACCAAATCATGTTTCCTTTTTAGTAATATACAAAATTGTCAAAGAAAATAATTATTTACTGGAAAATATGGAAAAAGGCACATATGAGCCAC